ATTATATATATATATGTGTGTGTGTGTGTGTGTGTGTGTGTGTGTGTGTGTGTGTGTGTGTGTGTATGTAATCATCATCATCAAGTGTCAGACCTCCAAAAGACACCGTCGATCATGGTCTTCCATGTATTACTTTGATCGGATGTTCATTATAAAGTTACATTATCCTGATCTTTTCCCGTCCCCGATCTGTTCTGGCTCTCCAAGTAGGTTGTTCTGTGCCTACCCCTGCCGTGTCTACCTTCAGTTTTGCCAGTGGGAGCTTGAAGTTAAAGGCCTTTATGTCTATTTTGGTGTCCCCAAAAATTTCATTTATCTTTTCCTGATTTTTTTTTCTATCAGCGAGCGGCCCAAGTGGGCTCCTTCAAGTACTACATCATTTGAGTTCTTTTCTTTCCAAGATGTTCTCAGCAGTCCCTTAAGAAACCACATTTCTGATGCTTCTATTTTTTTTCAATGGCTTCAGGTATTGTCCAGCATTCACAGCCAGATACAAGGGTTGGACATACGAAACATTTCAGAACTTTCACTTGAGTAGTCATTGAGATGTTTATTTTGTTCAGGATTGGTCTCATTTTATTGAAACTACCCTTACCATTTTCGATTCCTTGCTTTATTTCTGTGGAACATTTAACACCAGACGTAGTTATATGTGCTTGTTATTTAAACTGTTGAACTTGTTTGATCTTTCCGCCTTTACTTATTAGATTAGGCTATAAATAGGACTTACTGCATTTTTTAGGTATCACCACGCCTTCTGTTTTCTTCACATTCAACAGTTACCCTTTACCTTCATTTTCCGTTACTACAGTGTCTAGAATTGATGGAAGGCCCGTTTCTGAATCTGCTATTAAATCAGTGTCATCGGCACATCTGGTGTTATTAATATTTTCGCCATTCACTTTGAGACTTGTGCATTTTTCTATATTTCTAAGGATTGTTTATCTGTACGCACTTTATAGAGGTCTGGTGACAAAGCACATCTTTGCCTCACTGCTCTTTAAATCTAGATCTATATTATTATTATATTTGTGAAAGATCGTCACTTTGGTCGCCTAAAACTTCCGAACCACTTTACTTTCGAATTAAAAAAAAAAAGTTAACGGTGGTTCAGAATCATTTAAAGGGTGCAAAGTTATATGAAGGAGTTTGAAGTCACTGTAGTTTAATGCTCAGTGTTTCATTAGTTCTGTTTAGATCTAATCTTGGGAAAGTCCGTCTTCAAAGATCCATTGTAAACAAGAGAGGTTTCCGTTCACAAGCAGTGCACACTGATCCACAACGACTTGACGATCGATTCTTTTGATTCCGTTCATCGAACGGGGTACTCAGCTAGTCTGCTTATATTTGCTGTATTCTGCACGTAGGAAAAATTATGCCTGTCCCATTTCATACTTTGTCTTATCCTTTTTATAAGCTTTGGTTTGTAAATATCTTTTCGTGTCTGTACATTTTCAGAACCAGTTCATTTTCTTTTTATATTATTATTATTATTATTATTATTATTATTATTATTATTATTATTATTATTATTATAATCGTTGTTGTTGTTATTGTTATCTTTATTATTATTATTATTATTATTATTATTATTATTATTATTGTTATTATTATTATTGATTTATTTTTATCATTGCTATTAATATTGTTATTATTATTATTAATATTATTATTATTATTATTATTGTTGTTGTTGTTGTTATTATTAATATTATTATTATTATTATTATTATTATTATTATTTATTATTATTATTATTATTATTATTATTATTATTATTATTATTATTATTATTATTATTATTATTATTATTATTATTATTATTATTATCATTATTATTTTTGTTTTTGTTTTTGTCCTCATTTCTTGGACATCTAGGTAACAGTAGCCGCAACAGCAGAAAAAGGACCGAGGGCACAAACAAATAAAAGGACAACTACTACCACTACACCACATACACCACTGTAACCATAGAAAACAGCTTCAACAGCAAACGAT